TCTATGGATACCATGGACTCCAGGGCATTTGGGCATCCACTTGTTTAGGGCTTAGGGTTCAGGTTCAGGGTTTTAGGGTAGTATGCAGCTACTTAGGAGTATAGGGCACTTAGGGTTTGAGGTTTGGGAAGTTTGCAATGCTCCTCTGAGCCTGCCAGCCAGACATCGTAGCGGACCAAAAACCTTCAACTTACCTTATATGTCTTTCTGTCATTGAAAAGTAGTCCACATACTCAAAAAGAGTGTCCGACTACTTTTCAAAATAAATCCACAACAAGCCTAAAAAGGGCGAGTTTTTACTAATTTCGTTTCAAACGAAATTTGCTTTTGGAAATAAAGGTTTCATCCTTGTTAGAGGAGTTCGACCTTGAACGCCTTAAACCCTAAACTGCCCCGAGCCTGAACCCTCAACCCTAAGCCGTGACAGAAAGGTTTAAGGTTTCAATTCAGGGATGAAGGTTTGGGGCCCAAGAATGGAGTGCAGTGCAGTGTTAAAAGAAAGGGATTCGAGCTTCAAGTTTAGTTTTGGAGTCTAAACACGACAGCTCAAACACTCAAAGCTCCAAGGCTCCAAGCCCTAAACCCTGAACTCTAAGGGTGTAGGGTGAAGGGTTTAGGCCTGAACTCTACATGGAGGACCGGCCTGCAGCAGGACAGAGTCGAGGCGCATGAAGGTCGGCGCCGCCGGCGCCTGCCGCACGCAACTCTTCCGATTGGGTCGGGTTTGGGGCACAAAGTCACAGAGTCACAGAGGCTGCTCAGGCTAGCAAACCCCCAGAACCCCCAAACCTTCAAGTGCCAGCGCAACATCATAACGCCACAAAATTATTAGTTTATGAGGCATGCACCAAGAAGGGGTGGCCTGCACCACGGAGACCACAACATCCGACGCGTCCGCAGCCTGCAGCCTGCAGCAAAGCATAGAGGGCGTCGGCGTAGGCGTAGGGAAGGGAGGCTCAGGACCTTGGGTCGGGATTGGGGCACGCTGATCTCAAGTCAGCAAAGACAGCAAGGCAGCAAGTCAGCAAACCCGAAACCTGGAACTGCCAACACCGCATCACAACACCAACAAAATCACAGTTTAAGAGGCATTCGTTTCCTTGCCGGCCGGCCGGCCTGCACCCAGAGAGATTCAGACTTAGAGAGTCGGCAGCCTGCGGCAAAGCATGTTCGGATGTTCGGAAGGCTGGGGCTGCTGGGCATGCGGCACACAGACAAGGACTGAGAAGGACAAGCACTCTACTCTGCACAAATGGTTTTTCCGGCGCCGGCACCATCCTATGCCCTATGCATCAGCAGACGAGTCAGACACGCCTGGACATTGCAGGCTTCTTGTTCACCTTGGGTTTCGAGGGCTTCGCCTTTGACTTGGGCTTGCTGGCAGCAGGGGTCCTGGACTTCTGATTCTTGGGTTTACTTCTGCCCCCACGTGCCCTGCGAGGACGCTCGGACTCAGATGGCTCAGATGGACTGGAGTCGGACTGGACAGTCGGCTCGCGAAGAATAACTTCGGACAGCCACTGGACCTTCTCCCGGAGGATCTGATGCAAGGTAGTTCCGGCCTGCAGGCGCGCCCCGAAACTGTTCCATAAACCCGGGCTCAGCAGGCGGAATCCAAACCATCAACCCGGGCTCAGCAAGCTGTTTCAAAGCCTCTTGCCTGCGGGTTGAAGTTGGAGATCGCCGGACTTGTCCTGGCAGAGTTTGAGGGCGACATGGGTTTCTAACTTCGGGTGGCAGAGGTCGGACGACATAGGTTTTAGGTCTGGCTGGCAAAAGGAACAACTGACAGCGGCCGATGGTTCTCAACTTCCTGTGTGGTGACTACTACAAGTCTACAGGTTCAAAGACCGGGCATCGCATAAAGTCACCAGGCCTCAAAGCCACGATGAACGAGTCCAGCTTGCCCAGCAGCATGGTCAGTTCCTTCAGGAGTCCAGCTACTGAGCATAGTGGGATACGGCTACGGTTATAGATAGAGGACTGGAGCAGAACTGCGACGCACGGAGAGTACAAGTACAAACTACTCAAACTACAGGCATTCCAAGCATTCAAGCACTGCAGTTCCTGCTCTGAGGTGGACAGCATCGTCATGATGTCGCGTATGTGGAGGACCAGGAGTGGGAGGACCAAAATGGGCACTGAGCAGGAAGGCGGCTGCGAGACCGTGCACAGTAGCTGCAGGCACTGCCAAGCATCCAACAAGATGAGTGGTAAGTTCAGTAAGCTCAACCCTGGTAGCTCTGGCTAGCCCTGCGACTAGGCCACTGCAAAATCAAAGATAGACATGTACAGTAACTGCAGGAGAAAGGACTCGGACCCGGCACTTGCACAAGCTCCATCTGTGGAATCTGTGGCCTTGGCACAAGAGTCATCGGCGAGGATGTTGTTGGGATTCAGCAGCAGGTGGGGCCTCGATGCAGCGAGAGGCACATCACAGGCGAGCGAGAGCAGTGCTTCAGAACTTCAGACTTCTGACTTCAAACTCTAGACTGCAAACCGAAACCCTGGCCCAAAGTGAGAAGTCGGACAAACTTGCAACCACCAAGGCATAGCAAAACAATTGTCTCAGTGCTTGGCAATGACTTGGCAGGATCTCCGCCAGCCGGCAGTTTTCGAGACCGACACATGTCAAGGGGATCTGCTCTCTAGTCTTCGGGACCGCAGCATAAAATGGGGATACAGTCTGTAACAAGACCCAGGGCTTGAAGGTTCAGGGTCGGGCCTCGGCTGAGGTTAGGGTAACCAGGCTTGGACTAGGGGCGGGCCTCGGCTGAGGTTAGGGTAACCAGGCTTGGACTAGGGGCGCGCCTCGGCTGAGGTTAAACCAGGCCTAGGGTCTCGAGCGCCACAGAAGGACCTGAAGGAGATCCAGAAGGGTGCTTAGTCTGAACTGCTGCTGCTGCTGCTGCTGCTGGTGCTGCTGCTGCTGGAGCTGTCGTTCTCGCTCTCAGAGCCAGAACCTGAGCCACAAACGGACGAACTTGGATCAGAAGCACACTCATCTGGCCCTGGCCCGGGAGACACTGTCGAAGCCTTGGCCTTGGCTTTGACCTTGGCTTTTGTTTGTGCTTTCACCTTCGCCTTCGCCTTGGCCTTTGTCTTCGTCTTGGCCGTTGCAGGATGCGCACGCTTCCGGGGCTTTGCTGTAGGCGCATCCAGATCCTCGTCTGGCACAACATCTGCTGCAGGAGGGTCCAGGAGCATGGCCTGCGCATCCAAAACATCGCCTGGTGGTGTTTCATGGTTACGTGGGTTCCACTGACTGTGCTTCGAAGCACGGTCGAAGCGGGGAGCAGCCAACAACCAATGCTTGACCATATTGAAGCATCTCTCACGTGTTTCAGCGGATGCATCAGACATGTTCAGCGACTTGGTGCACTTAGTTTTTGCGGATTTGGCATGAAAAACACATGTGCCCTGCCAAGCCCCAAACTCCGACTCCCGCCCATCATCATTCGGAGGTCGGTACGTGATTCTGAAGCCACATTTTCCCCAGGACGGAGCTGACTCCGGTCTCTGAACACGGGCGACAGGGACGGGGGCACCAGCATGCGCCGCAGCTGGGGCAGAAGAAGAGGATGCCTCATGCCCATCAGCCATCTCTGGCTCTTGACCATCTGGAACCTCGTCACCACCATCGCCCTGACCCCCTTGCCCATCTGCATCAGCAGCAGCTGCATCCGGCATGGCAGCATCCGCGTCAGCGTCATCAACATCATTTTGCTCTTCTGGATCGGAGCGCCACTGGCCGACATCATCATCGGACATTAACAGCGACGACGCAATGGGACTCATGGGACTGCCAAGGATTACTGAGCCCACTCCGCCGCCAACAGTTGAAGGGGAAGCCGTGTCTGGAGCTGTTTCTTGCGCCTGAAGCATTCCAGGCTCGGCAGGGTCTGCAGGATCCAGTTCTTGGACACTTGCATGGCTCTTGCGCTTGCGATGCGAGCCCTTTGCCTTTGCAGTCTTCTGAGTGACCCCAGAAGCAGATGGCGAAGCTGAAGTGGCCGGCAAAAGGCTTCCAAAATCAAAGCCATCATCTGGGAGAAGCATGGCAGCTGCTTCAGGCCCAGGCATGTCGTCTGGCATTGCAGCCTGGTTGCGATCACGGACACCATCGCCACCGCCCACGTCTTCCAGAGCAAGCGCAGCAGCATCCTGACCGAGGCAAAGAGGCTTCTGCGGGCACTACTTCCTAGGTCCTAGCTGGGAACTCGTAGTATTTTCTTAATTTGTTTCATTGGGCAGGACATTGGGACCTTCGTTCGCAAAAAGCCACATGTGTATAGGACTGTAGGAGTAACAAGTAACAAGTGCACAGTGCAGCCGGAACACAAAATTCCCATCCAGTAAGAAGCGGTAGTACTTCACCCCTTTGCCATGGGCAATGCTAAGGTCTTGCTGCTCTCGGAACATGTCCTCCGCCTTCGCAAGACTCAGCAGATACTCATGTTTGACGGTTGTTCCACTTGTGTACCAGACCTTCAAAGCCCCCTGCTGATAAGGATCGCGGGTCTTTGAAAGGCGCTGCCATGTCCAGCCCTGGCTGTGAAGATACTTGCAAAGTTGAAACACCGAAAATTCTTCCAAAGGCAAACCCTCTACCGGCCGCCCCAACGAAAAAGATTGTCTCACCATCTGGCCAACAGACATGTGTTGCAATGCTTTGTAACTCAAGCTCCAGCCCGAGTCTGTTTCCAGCAGCCAACCCTGATCGCGCAATTCCACAGCATGCGCGTGCAAGGAGCTGTCGAGCAAGGACATGGGCAAAGGGGAGTCTTTCCCTTCAATTGACCCCTCATCAATGAGCTTTTGCAGGACAGCCGAAGCTCCCTCAGAAGTGACGTCAGGCAAGGTCAAGACTCGTTCCTCGGAACGCTCCCAGCACAACATCTGCGAAACATCTCCAAGACTGGCACCGATGCCTGACAGAACATGGACGAGGGCTCCAGACTGAGAGCACTTGTTTGGCTGGGATTGCAGAACCCATCCCCCGGCATCACCACAACGCACAGCTTTGTGAAAAGTGATGGTGATATCACCGCGACGTATGCGCTGTCTGCCCGCAACTGCCCCTCTGACTGTTCTGAGTGAACCGGCTCGAGAACTGAGAACCCTCAAGAAAACATGTTCCTCAGCTATGTCAGTGCCGGGGCTTGCAGCAGAACGCACAGCCTCCAAAGCATCGTCATCCAACCGAACACACAAGTCGGCCTCTGCTGCAGCCAAGCTGGGTTTTGCATGTGCACCTTCGCCGGCAAGTGGGAGTTGCTGTGCCTCATCCAAGGATCTTACGGCAGATTGCTTGGAGTATTCCAAAGGAAGGGAATAAAAATTGCCTGGCACGAGCTGCCCTGCAAGGTGTTGCATCAAAGCATGGTTCACAACAGCGGCCTGCGTCAATTCTCGGCGTGGGTTCAGCTGCTTCAGAAGTTTGTCCCTTTGCTTATCCTGAGCATTCTTCTGTTTGCTGTACTGCTCTTTTTGCCCCGTGAGATCGAGGTATAGGGATGCGGGATCGTTGCCATAGAGGATGGCGTTTGCTGCTTTCTGCAAGCCGGACTGCTCCTCCGCCGGCTTGGAGACGATGCGCACCCACCCTGGATGCTGCGCAAACCGAAACAAGGTCGCTAAGTTTCGAAGTTTCCTGCAACGATTGAAGGCCATGAAGAGGTCCTCCTTGCGAGTCTCCATGACCTCGTCAATTTCCTTCAATCGAAGCGCGCAAGAAACATACGCTCCTGTGACTTTCCGGTAGCCACCGTACCGATGCAGAAGGCTGTGCTCGCCCTCAATGATCCGCTCCACCACAGGGATGAAGCGCAAGCGAGAAACCTGGCAGCGGCGCGGAAATGCAAGGGACACATGCACATTCGTAAGCCTCTTGAAATCATGAATCTCGCTTGAAGCCTTGAAGTGTTGAACGGGTACACACGTATTCTGTTTCAGGGTGCAGTCTAGGTGCAACTTAATTCTTGTGCCAAACAAGTGTATATTCGGCCAATCTTGAAGTCACCACAGGCGGCCACACACAACGCCGAATACACCTAGTCACCTAGTTAGTCACAAAACTTCGCTTCGCGATTTGGCAACCTTAAAGCCTCGTGCCTCGTACAAGAGCTCGGGCAATTCTTCCAACCCTGCAGAAGGATCATCGGCCAAACGGCGCAGCTGCTCTCGTAGCTCTCCACCAGGCCGCAGGAAGCGCCAGGTGATGCCATGGTGAGCTCCCTCAGTCTGCGGCAACTTCTCAAAGGTGTCCAGGATGCGCTTGGCAGCCTTAGGCCGGTCTCCTGCCACATCTGTTGCCAGAGCACATAGTTGCCAGGGAAGCTCGGTCCAGTGTGCTAACTTGATGTCGAGAACCATTTGAACATAACTGACACCATGTTCAAAATCATTCAGGATGCTCTCCTTGTCTTGTTCTGGCAGAGAAAGCGTGTCCATCAAGACTTGAGGACGCAATTCTTCGATGAGTTCGCCCATAAGCTCTTTCCACCTACCAGTGGCCATTTCCGGCGCACGCTTGCCTGCAAGAATACATGCACATCGCGAACCGTCCGCATCCGTCGGGTGGCCCAAAGACTGGAGGGCACTATCCAACGCCTGCTTGTATTTGCTGCTCGTGCTCGGCCAGTGATGACAAGGACAACCAGATCCCCAGGAGCTGATAAAGTTGGCAATCTGGTGCAATCGGAGGATCATTTGCGCATAGACTTTCCACTGGGCACTTTTCACCGCTTCAGAAATCATGCCAACATCCATGGCTTCATTCTCCACATCCTGGTCCTGCCGCTCATGCTCAGGTCCCTGCGATTTGGCCATGAACTTGTCGGCGTCCCACACAAGGCTGAGTGGCCGAAGCAGGTCAAGAATGGTGGGGAGTGCCTTGACTATGGTACCCCAACGCCACTTCGCAACGCTTGAGACACACGTTTCAAAGCAATTGGCGAGCACAGCAACCTGAGTTCCTTCAACACATCGGGCAACAAGGCGTTTCAGAAGATATTTGTGACTGAGTAAATGGGCCACAGCCTTGAATCGTGGAAGCCAAGCGGCCCACCCCTGTAAATGCTCATCCAAATCTGACTGAAGGTTATTGCTCACATGGTCTAAACCTGCGGTCATCATCGAGCTCGGAAAAACCTGTTGTGTTCTGCCTTCTTCTTCAAGTATGTCCAACCCGTCATCGGGAAGAACGGCATCAGCAACCGTCATCCATGCTGGCAAATAGTCCTGAATGTCGCCAGGGGCATGCGATATCCCTGACTCAACTCCGAGGTCCACGGTGAAGGACTGAACCTGTGAGGCCACACGTCGGAGTGCATTTGCATCGGAAGTTTCGTGACAAAACTTCAAGGCTATTGCCTTAATTTTGTCGGAAATTGTGCCGGCACCGGAACCAATCGCCATGGGCATTTGTCTGTGACGTCGAATGTCGCGCCTCAAAGCCGAAGACGCAGCAACCCTCGCAGTTACCAACGCATCAACCTCATCTGCATCCATGCCATCAACAGCATTGCGAAAGGCAGCTACAGAAGATGTCAATTTATTTGCTTCGTGAAAACATTGAACAACACGATCTTTCGGAATAAAGTCGTAGATGGACAACAACCAATCGGTTCCCAACTGTGGGGAACTGTCGCACCACAGAAAGATTGGCCCTTCAGACTCATCCAAGACAGTGCGATGGAGCAGAGCCAAGGCCGCATCCACTTTGACCTCCGCGCCACGCAGAGCAGAGTGGTTCTTGGCGGGCAGTTCTTGGGAACCTTAGGTATAATTTTGTTGAGTGCAGTTGAGGGTTGAAGGCCAGGGCGCTAGCTTGGGCTTGCTAAAATGTTCCAAGGCTCCAAGTGTTCAAGATGGTTGATGGTTACCAAATTTTATACGAAACACGATTGCTAGAAGGATGATGAAGGCCAAGGATGGACTGGACTCATGGGACTCATGCTTCAAAACGAAAATGAAGCGTGATGCCTGAAGGCACGAAGCCATGAAGCCACCGGCAAGCGTAATAAAGTTCACCCAAGTTCACCCCACTTTTAGCCCGAAACCGGTCCGAGCCCCCAAGGCCTGGGATTTGGAGATCGTTGATCCAGAAACTGGCTTCCGGCCTGCAGCCCTTGCAAAATTCTGCAAGGCTGGTGGCATAGCCGTGTCAAGGAACGCATCTTGGATCTGTGCAAGCTTGCTCTTGTTGCGAACATGACGTGCCACCCTGATTGAATTTACCAGATGCTCAGCTGATTTCGCTAGGTTGGAGAGGCGTTTGCCTCCTGTTCCTGCGGATGCAGTGCCAGCCTGAAATGCAAGCAAGAACATCTGAAGGCCCTCGCTAGCTTCAATTGCATTGCCTCTGGCTCATTGCTTTCCCTGATGATCGCAGAAGCATGATCACGAAGCCAATGCAACAGAAACCGAGCATCTTCAGCATCTAGCGCATGCGACGGCGCCTGCACACATGTCTTGCCATAACCCTGCAAACGGACCATGTCCTCTTCAGTTGGCCACTGCATAATACTTCTCAGCCAACACAACACAAGACCATGTTGCTTCTGTATGTGGTGAACTGAAAGCTTCAGCAACAAGTTTTCCCACCGACCACGGAGAAGCAATGCCAAGATCACCTCTGGAGTCCACAAACAAGGCACATCTGCCAGGTTGACGCTATTCGGATCACAACCCCAGCGCTCAAAGACCTCTGGTAAAGTCAAGCGTATGCCCTGCAAAGTGACAAGAACGGAGCTAGCACACAGCACTTGGGCATTGGTTTGAAACAAAGCATGCTTGAGCGAAACATTGCCTCTGCTTCCCCTGACAGACGAAACGGTCACTGGCTGGTCCAAGCGAAGGGCATCCTTAACATGAACGCTGAACGCACCTTGCGGGCATTGCAAGTATTGCCACAAGAGCTCAGCTTCCTGTGGCCACGGGGTTAGGCGCCCTGAGAAGCAAACACCTGGCTCCAAACGGACAAGCGCTGTCAACGTGGCAGATTCGATGTGCAGTGCACTGCGTGCTGCCTTAGAAGACACCTTTCTGAGGTCAGTTAGCAAATCCTCAGCTTGCAATCTTTCTACAAACCAGGAAGGTTCCGGCAAAAAGACAGGTTGGCGTGAAGTTTTCTCACTTCTCGAGCGACGATGGCCATTCGCATATCCACACAACAGCAGCATGACGGATTGCAGTGTGGCGCCTGTGCGACCGCATGCATGGACCCTCAGGGACTCAGGGATCTACAAGTCTACAAGCCTACAAGCTGTCACACAAGCAAAAAACGCACACTTCATACTGGAGACTGGAAACTGCAGCTACACGCAAAGTTTGGGCTTTGTGTACTGCTTGTGCTGGTATACAGGCTGTACCGGCTGTACCGATCTGCTGATGTGTCTCATGCGTTGTGTGATCAGTGAGCAGCTAAAGCCTAAAGCCCAAAGATCCGGCACCGGTCCGCTCTGCCGACAAAGTCTCAATCGACTGTTACTGTTGGGGAATGACCGAATGACCTTGACCATCAAACTTGACTGGCATTGAATGAGTAGTTTTCAACTACGTAGCAAACTCAGCGCACCTCCGCTAAGCGTCACTGATAGCGCTATATTGCCCCTTCAAGGGCCCTTCCATCAACTAGCAAACTCAGTGCCAGTGCACCTCCGCTAAGCGTCACTGATAGCGCTATTGCCCCTTCCAGAGCTCACTGTGCCGCAGGCCGCAGGACCTGACAGGACAGGCGACAGTACCATAACGCCATAACGAGCTTTAGCCGAACTTTAGCCGAGCCAGCCTCATCTCAGTCCGAGTCGTCCACGCCACGCTGAAGACCATGATGATACCTGACGGCCGAGAAAACTACGCTACTACTGTACGGGTGGGGACGGGCAAAGCAGGGCAGGGCGCACCGGAGCAACCGAAGGACCGAAGCGGCACACGAGAGGCAAGACGCCAGGCACTTCCTACGTCCTACGTGGTCCTACGTGGTCCTACGTGGTCCTACGTGGTCCTACGTGGTCCTACGTGGTCCTACGTGGTCCTACGTGGTCCTGCGTGGTCCTGCGTCCTACGCCGCTTAGCCTAGGCCTACGCATGAGTTTGTGCGATGTTCCTGCCTGTGTGGCTGTGCGTGTGTGTGTGTGTAGTGCCCAGCTGAGTGAATGCAAAGAGCCAGAATCAGAGTGATCAAGATTCCTCACACACACACACACACAACTCACAGCACTGCCGGGCTGCGCACTGCCTGCCGAAAAAAATCTTTGACCCGACGCCGCCACTTGAGGCTGAGGCTTTCAGATGTCAAAATACAAAAACACCAGGAATACCAATACTGCAGTACCCCCCCCCCACCGCCACCTCCGGCCGCCGGGACGGGCGGCCACCCACCCTTGCTTACTTACTTCTTCATTCATCAGACATCTCAGACATGCAGTGACGCGCAGGGTCAGGAATGATTTTTAAAAGATTTCAGCAATAACAAATGCATACGCATCAGACAGAATCAGATAATGACACAGCGCCGGAAAAAGCCGCCGCCGGCGTCGCCGGAAACGAGGAAACAAGAATCACTTGCCATCGGTTAGCAGGTTTCGCAAAACCGGCATTCCACCATCAGAGGCCTATACACCCAGAGGCTTCTGGAAAACTAACAGGCTCGGCTTCAACAACCGGTGCTGGAGCTGAGGCTTGGGCGGGTTCCGCCTGCCTTGGTGGATCACCATCCGGAATCAACTCTTCATCGGAAATCGTCACTTCCACCGGAAGTCCACGCATCATGCACAAACGGTGTGGCGGCTCAGACACTTTCTCATCACAGCCACCTTTCACCTTCAAAGGCTCCGACCTTAGGTCATCCCAGCCACAAGCACAACACAACCACAAGCCACGCACACGCTCCAAGCCACAACAGCACAAGGACCGCAGACGCCGCACACCAACCAGCACAAAACACTCCACGGCTTCAGAGGCTCTCGGTGCTTTGCTGGCTCGCGGTGCTTCGGGGGCTTTCGGTGCTTTGCTGGCTCGCGGGGCTTCGGCTTTCGGTGCTTCGGGGACTTTCGGTGCTTTGCTGACTCTCGGTGCCTCGGTGACTTTGGACGTTTTGGGGGCTTGGGCTCTCGGGGCTTCTTGCACGTACCCTGGCAGACACACTCGCACAGAGGGCCCCAAGGCTTTAAGTAGAGCCTGAGCCTTTCTCACAAAACCCTCGCAAAACACTTGCAGCACGTCACTGGGCCTCCAGGCTTCTGTGGGGGTCTGGGCCTCACACTCACTTGCAAAACCCTTCCCAAAAACCCGTAAAACCCTATAGCGCTGCAACCTCAGAACTTCACCCTTTCTACCGAGCACACCCGGACACTCACCACACTCAAAGCAACCTACTCTCGCAGACGATCGCTTCCACTTCCTCTTAAAACGCATCTTTTTGCACCCTGCGGTTGGTCGCACGGTAGGTCTCAGATAGAGACAGAGCGGGAGCGCCTCTTGGAGCCGCGTCCATGTTGCGTTGACCCTTGGTCTGGAGGGCCATACGAACCACCGAGTACCCGTTGTGTTGGGCGGATCGGTGCCTTGCTCTTTGGATCGGTCGGCGGGGCTTGCAGCAAAAGCGATCTGTGGTATCCCAGAGGCGGCTGCGGTCCCAGCAAAAACGATCCTTGGTACCCCAACGGCGGGGGCGGTAACGGCGGCAGCGGCACTGCTGGCGCTGCTGGCGCTGGCAAGGCCGGCATAGCCTTCACAGGCACCATCTTCGGAGGCGCCACCGGCCTCACTGGCATCGCCTTCACTGGCACCAAAGCAGGATCCACTCCAGGGGTCTCCGGTGCCGCTGGCACGGCTCTTTTCGAAGGCTTCGGTGGCGAGGGAGAAACTTTGGCCGGCGACCTGGACGGTTTCACTTTGGGCGGCGGTGGCCCATCCGGAATCACAATAACGGCCGGCTTCAAGGTCACAGCCGGCCTGGTCACTGTCTTTGGCTTTGGAGCCAAACGAGGCTTTCCACGTGGATCTGAGGGCGCCGGTGTCATCGGCACCTCCTCCTCGGCAGCAGCTGGTGCCACCTCTTCCACCACAGCCTCGGCCGCGGCTTCCACAACCGCTTCGGCAGCGGCGTCCACAACCGCTTCGACAGCGGCCTTCTTCTTCTTCCGCTTTTTCTTCGCAGGTACAGGAACAGCTTCTTGGGCATCGACCGTGGTTTCCGCAGTCCCCACTGCCACAAGGAGGTCCACTGCACCCTGCTCCGGCTCCTGGGCCGGCCGTCCTTCGGATCTTTCGTCCAAACGGCTTTGCACCCATTCCAGGGCACCTTCGGCAAGCGCCTTGCCCTTCGCTACAGCACGGGCGTGCTGCTTCTTTCTCACAAGCCGCTTGGCCTTCACGACCTTCTTCTCCGTCCGCACCACCTGCATCAGCTGGCGATTGTAGCCCATCGTCACTGGACCACCATCCGCTGGCTTCCGCTCGGGCTTCCGGGCCTTCTTCTTCGAGGTGGGCGCGACAAACAAATGTGGATTCAGAAAAGTAGGGTCCACAGTGTCCGCCTCGGCTTCCTCGGCTGCTGCAGCCTCCTTCAAGGCCTTCGTGGCCTTCTTTGCCGCACCACGGACCTCCTTCAAGGCCTTCGTGGCTTCCTTTGTCGCACGAGATGCCCGCTTCTTCTTGCGCTTGGGCACTTTCTCGACGGCTTTCTCTGCAGCATCCAGGGCCTCGGCAACGTCCGTGGCCACACCAGACTCGGGGCGCCATTTGCCCCAGCCTTCTTCCTCTTCTTCCTCCAGCTTTGACGGCAGCGGTGATTTCTGCAGTGGCGATTTTGGCTGTGAAGGCACTGCCATTTTGTGCCACTCGCGAGAAATTTTGGTGAGCTCGTCGTGCTCCTCCATCATTCTCCTCTCGGATTCCTCCCGAGCCGTGCTTTCTATCACCGATGCAACCGTCACCATATCGGATCGTCGGGCAGACGCAGCGCTCTTCATAGCGGTGAGGTCCGCCATCCTCTGAGCCATAATTGCCGCCTGCGACGACCTTTCTTCCTCGTCCGTCGAGGATACCGGGGGCTCCGGCTGCTTCTTTCGTCGACGCCCCATCGCACAAAACGAGGAGCGTGAAAAACAGAAGCTTGAGCACCAAACTACGATGCACGACCCTTGCGCACCCTTGCAGTCTCCACTTGAAACCACCTTGCACAGACCTCGCGCACTCACTGCCTTGCAGCTTACGCCGTACTGACCTCGCGCACTCACTGCCTTGCAGCCTACACGAGGAACCGCCTTGCAAATCCTGACAAAACCCTAGCCCTGAAACCTTGCACGCACACTCCCTCACGA